GCTCTGAGCCCCGAGTCCACCTAACACCCAAACCACAGCAGAGAGAGTAGTTCACAATCAGGAGTGTATAAAACATGGGCCCTCATTTGTCCAAGGCACTCAGCAGCTAAGGTGGAACCTAACCTGTCCATCACAGAGGGCTCCCCTTTGACCATCAAAAAAAGCTCTTGTTGGATCATAATACTACATATACAAATGTAAGTTGGGGCTGTAGTGAACAGAATTGGGTGAGAAAGTGGAAAAGACTGCTGGATCTAATCCTGTCTAAAAACACCTTAATAAAAATGTTTTGCTGTGTTTTAGAAATACCACTCTTTCCTGCAGAGAAACGTGCTCCGGCTCTGTGGTAGGAAAAGCTTCATTCTCCCTCCCTAATTGTTTTCCATCCATGTTGATGACAGAATGGAGAAGCTAAACAAAACTTAGGCAGCAGTGACAGGATGTCCTGTTGTATTTATCTAATAGACGCAGATACATGACTCACAAATGTTGGTTCCTAGCACATCATTCACTTTTTTGTTTAAATTTCTGCTTATGGCTAAAGGCATAAACAGTGCTTGGTTATTTGTATTTCTTCTTACCACAGACAAACATAGGGAACTATGTTGCAAACTCTGTGATAGGGATTATTAGGAAAGGGATTGAGTATAAAACAGTTGATATTTAGGGATGGGCAGAAACTGGCTGACAAATTTTGGCTGGTTCATGGTTTGCAAAGCAATGTTCATAAACTAAAGAACCACCACAAACTTTCCTAAATTTTGATGCAATTCATGGTGGTTCATGAAGAGCAAAAAGCAGGGGTTTAAACTCATGAAAAGAGCTGAGCAGTGGGGAGCTCCTCAGCACTCAGCTGTTTTGTTTAAATGGCTGGGAGTCATTTAAACCACTGCTCCCCATGAAAAGCCATGGGAAGCAGAAAGCAGGGGTTTAAACTTTAAATGGCTCACAAACCAATACGAACCAGATCAGTTCACAAACCAACCTCCCAGTTTGTATGGGTTTGTGGTTCGGTTCATGGTCCAGAGACAACATTCACCTGGCACCTGGAAGGTTCCTTTCATTAGCCCCCCCCCCCCGATCACTACAGGTCATATGCCATTCTAGCCTTGCTTTATTGCTGTTAACCACAAGACTTTAATGGTTCATTGTATTGTAGAATTCAAAAATAGCCTAGAGCCTAACAGTCCAAGTTCAATTGCAAATCATCAGACTTCTCTAGCTTTTAAGGCCGACCCGTAATTTAGTATTGTGCTGGTAGTAACAATTATCTCCACATGACTAGGGATTTCTTTATTGCTACTGTGGCAGAGTTGCAGAAGCAGCTGCTATAGCATGACTTTTAGACAGCACTGTCATAGGACTACACATATAGTGCTCCATCTATATATATATATTAAGTGTTTTTGCCCTGACCTGGCTAACCAGATCTCAAAAGCTAATCAGGGTTGGCCATGGTTAGTATTTGGCTAGGAAACCACCAAGGAATACCAGGGTTGCTATGCAGAGGAAGATAATGGCAAATCACCTCTGAACATCTCATCTTGATTGCCATTAGACAGCTGCGACTTGATGACAAAAAAGTGTTATTGTCTCTAAGGCTATAAGGGAAAATAAACTCTGCATGTAGCTTTTACAGCTCTACCCCCATAAACCCTATGAAAGTTGTCACCCTCTCTGGTTCATCATGCATTTTGTCTTCAACGACATTATTTGAAAGTGGACAAATATTGATTGTGGCAACAACCAATAAAATCATTCATTTATTAGTGGAGTTCTCTGGGCTGGTTAAACTAAATTAGTTTTGATTAATTTTTCACAGTTGGTTTTCATTCAGTAAGCAGGTGTGACGGACTGCACTTTTAAGAGGCTTAGAAGTGCTGTACCAACAACTAAAGGACTGTGAAGCGTTAATTCTTCAGAGAGGCAGAGAGCCTTGCATGACAGGCTGCTCTAAGCAATCTGATTGGTTAGCATCAGTTGAGCAAAAATAAAGTCTTGAAAGAGCTGGATGCTGAAAAGAGTCAGTCAGATTCCTGCCTTAATTGAGAATAGACATGTACTGAGATTATCTGAGATTAGCCCTGACAGAAAAAGGGTTTAGTGCTGACAGAGTTAGATTTCTACTTTGAATGAACATAGTCTGAATTCAGCATTAGCTGAGTGCAGTTTGAACACAGAGAACTGGGAAGACTTTGATAAGGAAGTTTGGGTAGTAAAGACTTACATTCAGGCCAAAGGAAAGGGGATAGATCTTCTAGAGAGAGAAGATTTCCTCCCAGTCAAGCAGAGAGAGTGCTCTCTGAGAAGCACAGACATCCCTGATCTAGTGTGATTAGAAACTACCCATAGAGACCTTAAAAGTCAATTAACAACTCAAGAAGAGTGCTGGTGTTCTAAGAGAAGGCGTTTGGGTACTGTGAAGAGGGCACCTGCCTTCTGGGCACTGAAAGACTCAGCGATAATACACTGATTGGTTAGCATCAGTTGAGCAAAAATAAAGTCTTGAAAGAGCTGGATGCTGAAAAGAGTCAGTCAGATTCCTGCCTTAATTGAGAATAGACATGTACTGAGATTATCTGAGATTAGCCCTGACAGAAAAAGGGTTTAGTGCTGACAGAGTTAGATTTCTACTTTGAATGAACATAGTCTGAATTCAGCATTAGCTGAGTGCAGTTTGAACACAGAGAACTGGGAAGACTTTGATAAGGAAGTTTGGGTAGTAAAGACTTACATTCAGGCCAAAGGAAAGGGGATAGATCTTCTAGAGAGAGAAGATTTCCTCCCAGTCAAGCAGAGAGAGTGATCTCTGAGAAGCACAGACATCCCTGATCTAGTGTGATTAGAAACTACCCATAGAGACCTTAAAAGTCAATTAACAACTCAAGAAGAGTGCTGGTGTTCTAAGAGAAGGCGTTTGGGTACTGTGAAGAGGGCACCTGCCTTCTGGGCACTGAAAGACTCAGCGATAATACAAATAAAGTGTTTGGGAAAACACTGGAACAAAAGCATCTCAATATAAAGAACTAAGTAACTGTGAATAAATTAAGAACCTCTCATTAGCCTGATATATAAGATCAAAAGTCTGTGCTTGTACTAGTTTTACCTCAGTAATTTCAACCCCAGATTTCCTGACCTTTCCCTTTGATATTAAATAAAACTTATTTTTGAATTTTAGTGTCTCAAGTGCCATTTTCAAGGGTTTAAGTTAAAGGGTGATCCTATCCCTTCCCTCAGGTTCCTGGACTGCACAAATAGTCAAAATATATCTTATTGACAGGGTGGGACAAAGTTTCTTCAGGGGAGAACACATTACCAGGGCTGCTCAGTTAGTGAGGGGACAGAAAACAGGGAAAATTTAGCCCCTGAGGGAGGGAAGCAGAAGGGGTCCGTCATAGCAAGGTAAGACAACAGCATTGAAATGTACTAGATCATTCTAATTTTACAGAATCAGCATTTGTACTTAGTAGCTGAATCTCCTAACAGGTAACATTTAAAGGAGTCTTGGTACCAACGAAAGTACCACTGTTAATAGATGGACAATATTAAATGCAAACTTACTGTGGCGCACTGCTTATTTGGGGGGACTGTTTCCACTTTAAAATTATTCTTTGTGTAATAAACTGGGTAGTTTCTGCTGCCACCAGGAATTTTAAGAAATTCCAAATCTTCTCTCTGTTTCTGCTGTTGGTAATGTGACCCAGGGTCTGGGCTTTCAGAGGTCTATGTGGCCCTGAGGAAGGATTGAACTGAATTCTGGGTTAAACTTAAACACAATATGATTTATTAAGGAACAAAATAAGTTGCTAGTAAACTGTAACTGTCTTGGGGAAAAAATAAACTGGCAAGGTATCACACACAGTCTTTTGACCTTAAGATCCCACTCTGACAGGAATCTCTCACAAAGGCAGCCACACTGGCTAAGCTCTTTGTATTATTGACTCTCTTTAATAACTTTAGAGTCTCACAGACCCTTTTCATAGCTCCTTCACATTTAAACTTTTAAAGCTGTATATACTGAACTCTGAACTCTTTAGGTTTCCACACAGACTCTGTCATAGCACTCTATAACTCAGAATCACTCACCAACTGAATCACTCACTGAATAACTCCAACTGATTTCTCTAACTGACTTCTCTATAACTGACTTCAAGACACACACAGATTCACTTCAAACAACTCCTCCCACACTCTGTCATCCACCAATCACAGCACACTGGTCTCCCTCAATCACTCTACTCTACTAACACTGCACTCCAACCAAACATTTAAAGGAACACACACAGCAAAACAAGGAATACTTACATTTACACCTCACCCAAATCTTTTGTCTATTCTTCTACCTCTAGTCCAATATCTTCTCTATTAATCTGCTTTCCTATTTTCATCCTTCTTTCCTTTTTCTCACCTTTAAACTCTGTGTTGTTCCAACTTGCTTGTTTACATTTCCAAATTTCCCTTGCACTTCTAAAACACAACTTTTCTATATGTCATCTCCTGTCAGCTACAGCCTACCCGTTTAGTTTATAACGTAGGGTCAATAGCTTTTCCATTCTCATTTGCACCAATTCTACTCACTGAAGCTTACTGTATTTTCAATAACCTTTATTATTCAGAAGTTTAGCTTAAGGTAGACTATGGCTGTAATAAGTTCTCCAAACAGCAGAGTAATAGTTTCAATATAAGGGCCTCACATCTCCTAATATAAAGTTAGTAATGTGTGAATAAATTTATGGTAACCCCAGGAAGGCAAGTGAGAAGCAGAGGTAGTCTGCCATTGCCTTCCTCTGTAGAGTCTTCCTTGATGGTCTACCTTCCAAGTACCGACCCTGCTTAGCTTCCAAGATCTGCCACCTTCCCTCCCAAAGCTAATATCATCCCTCAATATTTACGACAACAGATAACTCAAGCCTTATTAGAAAATATTTTATTAATATCTGTACGATATTCTCAACAATTTTTCTCAAGTCCACAAAAACAAACATTACAGAATAGCCATTGACTGTGGGGAAAAAATGAATGATGGAGAGATCAAAGTCTGGGACAATCCACTGTGCATCAGCAAGGCTGTACACACATATACAGGTCACAATACATCTTGTCTGATCAAATCACCAAAATAAGCAGTTACGGTCTTCAATCGGTTGTTCAGAAAATTTTGCTCTATTTCAACTTTCCCTCCTGGTCCAGCTAAAGAAGCAATCTAAAAAAGAAAAGAAAGGTTCAAAATGTTACTTAAAAATGCTAGATAAAATCAGAAAAACAAGCTAACTCCATTGCTTCAGACATTTTTATCTTAGCCCATTCCAATTCTGGTAACATAGCCGAGTTTGCAGAAAGTTGCGTAGGAGGACTTGCACTTAAGAGAAGTGAAGCTGCAGAGAGTTCAGCTTGTCCTTACACATATACTTTTCTGATGGGCATATTATCTCCAAATCCCAACTTCTATCTCTCTCTCTCTCACACACACACACACACATATATATGTACAGGGCAGATACATGAATAAGTGAACTTAGCTGACTGTGTGACATCTAGTTTACTCTTTAGAGATGTACACTTTTAGAGATGTGCACAAGTATATAATACATTTATAAGATTCCATAATAAGATTCCATATTATATTTTTATCTTTCTAGCCAAAAACTGGCATTCTAAGGGAATCCCAGTAATTACATTCTAATAAAATGATGCTAGCAGTTAAATGAATAATGAAAAACAACAAATCACCTCAGACGCTGTGAACCAGACTACTTGCTGCCTACTGTGCTTTTAAGGCGGTTTATCTGCTTTTCCAGAGCTTGCCGATTCACCAGTGGGGTAAATAAATTTAGATAGGCCAGAAAATGAACTGAAGGCATGTGGACACAACTCCACATCTGAAGCTAAGTGGGTTGGTCCTGAGCGCACAGGCAGAATTGGACATCATCTTGGAATGAGATACAAGCTACTCAGCTCTTTTCCTGGAGAGCAAACCACCAGGAGTAACAAATATACTGCAGCCTACTCCCCCCTATTTGATTTTATAATGTTGTAACTAGCTAGTTCTCTTTACAAAACCAAACCTACTTGGTGTATTACTCAACAGGGCAGAGGTCAGCAACCTTTTATAACTGAAGAGCCAAATTATGTCAAAATTCAGAGTATCAGAGCCAGTATATTAAAGCCTATTTGCATGTGTGTGCATATATTTAACATTAATGATAATTGATATGTTGATGAATAAGCCATACAGTTTCTATGGTCCAAACAACGGTTGTTGCGAGTCCTTTACTTGGAAGCAGCATACAAGAGACCTCACGTTAAGTAGCAAATATACAAAGGAATACCATCCACAATGTTTTAGTGCACTAGAATAAAACTGCACATGCTTCACACCTGGATTGCTGGCAGCTGTTCACCTCTATCATTTTTCTTTAAGGGTAATTTTACAGAGCATCTGAGATGCCTTTTAATCCCATAACAGATGTTTGCCTGCCATTCCTTTCACGTATTCTAGCATCACACCTACCCCTCTAATGTATTTTTATAAAGGAAGCTCAGAACAAACATTTAAAACTGTAAGTGTACAAGGGATTGAACTCTAATTTAAAAAAGCGGTGAAGGAGATAAAATTTTCCTCTGATTTAATCAGTTACACCAGAATCTAGATAATCTTGAGGCATGTTCAAGAGTATTGGCGCAGGTGGACTATTTTTTTTAAGCCTTTTGCCTTTTGACATCCCCACACTGGAGCACTGTGCAAAAAAACCCCATAGCCAGTTCAGAAGACTAGCTCCAGGTCTGGGAGGCCCCGGGCAAGATATCTTTGTGCCACCACACCCTTCCCCATAGCTGCCAAGCTTCTTTCAGTCCATCTGCTTTCTACACACAACCTCAAATCAGAATATGGGTAACTGTCCCAGAAAGTTTTTTAGGGTGCTCCCCCAATTCCTTGTGGGCGCATGTCTCGGTTTTTGAACGCTGTTAAAAATCCAATATTGTAATGCCCTTGTCCTGAGCAACAGTGCACCCACATCTGAAATACTGCACAATTTTGGTTACTGTATCTCAAAAAGGATATTGCAGAGCTGGAAAAAGTACAGAAGAAGGCAACCAAGATGATCAAGGGGCTGGAGCACCTTTTCTATAGGGAAAGTCTGGGACTTCTTAGTTTGGATGGGGGAAAGGATAGGATGGGACATAAGAGATTTATAGAATTATGAATTGGCTGGAGAAAGTGGATTGAAGCAACTGACAGAGGGAGCTTCCCCCCAAATACTAGAAATTGGGGGCACTCAATCAGAAATTAAAGTGTGGAATTCACTGCCTATGGCCACAACCATAAGTGACTTTAAAATGGGGTTAGAGATTCATGGAGAATGGCTACTACACATGTTGAGTTAAGGAAACTTGCATCTTCAGAGGTAGTAAAACTTTAAAATCAAGTGTTAGGAGGCAATATCAAGGCCTTGGCATCTATGCCTTGTTGGCCCTCCAGGGCAATCAGTTGGCCACTGTGTGAAACAAGATGCCCACAGACCAGATCCAGCAGCGCCCTTCATGTAGCCATACTTTTTGCACTCCAGGAATTCATGACCCATCATCCATCCAGCTATCTTACCAGCAGGCAAGCATACAGACTTAAGCCATGTACATGCAGTGTTGTATATAGTGCACATAAGACTCTGGACCAAGACAGTAATCTAACACTGGCAAGAGAGGACTAGAACAAAACATTGTGGGCATTCATCTACAGTGAGACAGGTCAGGAAGGCACTGGCAGGGTGAAGAGCCAATATGGCTAAAAGTTTCCATGTTACTGAAAATTCAGTGCTCATCACAGCAGTTTCAGTAGTGAACTTCCATCACTAGAGAGAAAATTTATCTGGCTCTGCCTTCTTTAGGATCTTCTGTACCTGGAAATTTATACCCAACTTCTGAATATCTTGTACATTGATTGTTGATTGAGTGCTGAGTGTTGATTGAGTGTGAGAACAAATGTTTAAGATTTATTTTTTAAAAGCAGAATAGACCACCAAGGAAGACTCTACAGAGTAAGGCAACAGCAAACCACCTCCACTTCTTGGTTTGCCTTGAAAGCCCCTTGCTGGAGTTGCCATGTCAGTTGCAATCGATTATGGCTGAAAGCAGAGAACAAGTGCTATTCTGCTGACTTTCCTGAGCAGACTTCATTGATGTTTCCATTTATCAAGAATACTTGAAGCAAAAGGGACTCTATTCTCTGACTTACATAATGCTTTAATTCTATTTACTGACAGCACCTGGAAGTGCTGTTACAGTCACTCATAACACTGAATAAAGAATATTTTATATTGACCAAGCCTATGAAATGCTGCAGACCCTATGAACGAATTCCTATCTACAGAATATCAATTTTCACTTTGTGTTTATATTCCTCTAAGACTTCTGCTACACAGTACTGGCTTAAACACACTGAACTTCCTCTATTTTCAAGCTATTATTAGCAGAGCAAACTTACTGTAAAGGAGGAGGAAGTGAAATATTAACTATTCTTTAAATGACTGATTCCTTGCAGGCAGAAGAAAAATTCGATAGCTGCCCAATCCCTCCCCCCAAATGTATCCTTTAACTCAATATACACAAATCCTGTTTTAGTAAAAACAAACAAAACCAGCAAGCACACACAACAAACCAGGAATCTTGCAGTATAACAGAAGCAGAAACTGATCATTATGAGGTAGCAAAGTGCCCAATGAAGGGGTTTGGGAGGTAAGGAGGGCTCAGATATGTATAGAAGGCACTGCATGCGCCTATACTCTAGGAGCCACCCCCACTAGATGATCAGTTTCAGACAGCCATTTACTATTTAGGTGTATTCACACTTGGGGGGATGGGCTGCACCTCTTCCAACATCCTTGTCATTCCCAGAATGCAAGCCCAATGAAGTGAATGGAGAGTCAAGACTATTTTAACTTGTAAAGCACCTCAAATTTCACATGCTCGGTCCATTCCTCCAAGTTCCAATTCTTAAGAATCTCTATGTTCATATATGTATAGAGTATAGACAGCAGATCAGGTGACAGACCTGAGCCCTGGCTGGATTCCCAAACTGCAGATAGGGTCTCCCATGACAACTTGTTCCCCAGCATCTAGTTTTGCTATGTTCAGGTTTCTGTTTTTTGTTTTTTTTAAAAAAGTGGAAGAACTTTATGCCGTACAAGTGCTATGGTCCAATACACTGCTCATCACTTTACCTGCTGAGAGTGAGAACTAAATGTCAATAATGACAGAAATGTGTGAAACAATGTTCCCTCTAAGCTGTGGAGTCTTGTGAGCAAAAAATCAGCTTTGTGAGCTACTGGCATTAAATCTGTGAGCAAGCGATTTGGCTACTGCGTAAATCAGTTTGCTTTGGAGCCATCCTTTCTGAGCGAAGACAAAAATGTGTGAGCCGGAGGCTAAAAAACTGTGAGCTAGCTCACACTAACTCAGCTTAGAGGGAACATTGGTTTGGAAGACAGAATATTGGAAACTAGACGTTACATAAAACTAGCCTAACAGACTGATTTAGAAAATGAACCAACAAGTTAACTTTCCTGTACTTTCTAACATGAAATACTGAATGTGATGCACACACAAACACATCCCCACCAGAAAACGCTTACTGTTCATATTTGTATGAAAATGTAAGGTCATCCCCTCAGTTTCTTGGCAGCCCACTCCTTTTGAGTAAATACAATATTTACAAGAGCAAATTAAATATCCAAATTCAGGGAAAGATCAGTATTGAATTCTGAAGAACGGTGGGTTAGGGAGGTTCATCACTTGCAAGGTACAACATCCCAAACAACTGAATCAGAACAGGGATACATTTCAGCCACAGCTAAACTAAGAAGATGCGAAGCCCAAAGTACAAACCAGAAACTGCCTTCAGCTTCTTGCAAGGTAACGGGGAAGTCAGCAAAGGTGAAAAACTCAACTCTGCAAGAAGTTGCATCTTATCTCCTCTCTTTGAAAGAACTCAGCAGTTTCTATTCTAGCATATGTACAAAGGACTTGGGAGCTGTAATCTAATTACGGACAGGCCATTTTCCTGAAACCAGACTTCACTCAAGTTCACTGAACTCTGGCAGTTCATGAGGGAAAGAACTGAATTGCACAAGATGTCTAATACAAACTGGCTGAAAAAAACTGCTTTTGGAAATCCCAGCCAATACTCAGTTCCTGTCCTTCGTGCATTTGGGTTATTAAATCACATTCTTGTCATTTCCAATATTTCTAGGCAATGTTCTATTTGAGAATGTAAGTGTTTTTCAGAAATAATTTGCACCTGGGAGTGGATAGCGAGAGCTCCACAACATCGTGATGAAAATTAAACTAAGAATTTTAAAATAAGATCCAATCCAGGTGGCCCTGCCTGCCCAAGCAGTACTCCCTGCTTTGGAGTCGATCCACAAGCATTGGAATCAGTTTGGACAGAGTTCTTCTACATGTCTGCCCTCTCTGCCTCAGATGGTTATGATCTCTCCTTCACTAGAGGTCTGGGAAAGCCGGGTGGCTAGTTGTAGGGATACTAAACAGAACGTTAGACTAGATGACTTCCAGAGCCCCTTCCAATTCTGGCACTCTGACTCTAGAAATAATATTTGCTAACATTTGCTTACTTATGTGGCCCAGATATGAAAGAAAGATACACCATTTCCTGCCAACTATGTATATAAGGACCCAAACACTTTGGCGTGTTAAGCGCACGCCCAAAGCCAACACTAATTCTTGCAAACAATCTGTTTCTCTGTTTAGCTTTAAGTAGGGTTACCATATTTTGAGAAGCATAAAAGAGGACATATTTCCTGTCTGACTACTTCCGACAAGGGATCACTATGACAAATCTCGTTTTAATTACCTCTACTATTTAAGCTATGATAATTGATACTAACTAGGAATATTCCTAATCTTCCAACCCCAAAAGAGACCATTTTCATCAGTTTTTTTTAAAAAGAGCCCAAAAGAGGACAGACACCAAAAAAGAGGACATGTCCTCCAGCTTAAAATGACAATATGCTTTATATACAATGTGCTAGTTGTATGACTGCACCCTCTAGGGGGCAAAAAGCAAAATGCAACAACTGGGAAAGTTCCATGACACAACTAACCCACTTTGTTCTTTGCCTTCCCAGCTTACCTAGGAAAGCAACCAGCTGGATTCAGATGGTGGTAAATGCCTGCTTGAGAGAGGGGATGGTCCTGACCATTGTGAAAGTGAACACATATGCGATGGAGAACACAGTTCTGAGATGATCTAAACAAACGAAACACAGACTGATAGAACAAAGCGCTTTGTTCTATCAGTCTGTGTTTCGTTCATTGTGAAAGTGGAAGCTGACAGCATTTCTTTAGGAGTTTTCTCACTAGATCTAATGAATTATTCTAGCTATTAGCCATCAGCTGATCTTCTGTATTGAAGAAGAAGAGTTGGGTTTATACTCACTCAAGAGTCTCACAGTGGCTTACATTCTCCTTCCCTTCCTCTCCCCACAATAGACACCCTGAGGTAGGTGGGGCTGAGAGAGCTCTGATAGAACTGCTTTTGAGAGAACAGCTCTAAGAGAACTGTGACCGACCAAGGTCACCCAGCAGCTGCATGTGGAGGAGTGGGGAATCAAACCCGGTTCTCCAGATTAGAGTCTGCCGCTCTTAACCACTACACCAAACTGGCTATAAAGTACTGGTGCTCAGTGCTCAAACAGCTGACAGAGGAAACTGATTTTCTGGATTCTATTGCAATGATTTCCAATGACCATGTGTTATACTGTGAGAATTCAAAGTTTTCGTACCTGGAATAAACATACTTCTTTTATCTTAAAACTATGATTAACCATTCCATTTGCCTCTAAACCATAAAAATGAGAGCAACTAGTTCATGCTTAAATCCTGATAATTTCTCTTTCTCACACAAAACCATTTCACTGTGTGGCAGAGGATACTATGCTTTTTGAAAATGCCTGGAGAATAGCACCCCCATAAGATTGTTGTCAAAATTATTTACAATTAAAGAAATACTGATGATATTGTACATGGCTACTGTTTACATAGGAATTATTGTTTAATGCTCTAGATTCTCTATTTTTATATGACACTTTGATAAAACATGGCTTTAAATTTTTTTACTCCCAAAGGAAAAAATAGCAGTTTTTTTCAGTGTTATCCAATATTTCCTAATTCTTCCATTGGAAAAAATGAAGTTTTCAGACTTTTTCATGCTATACATGATGAATAAGAAAAGCCTATCTAAAAGGAAAAAAATATTTTATTTCAGTGCTCCTCAAAATCTATTTTTCCATTGGAAATCTATTTTTCATTGTTTCTATGGGCCCCTTTAGCCCAGCATCCTGTTTCTAACAATCAGTCAGATGCTTTAACACAGTCTATAGATAGGGCAGGAGTGTAACAGCTCTATTCACTGTTAGCCCTACAGCAACTGGTAGAGCTCTGGCTTGGTGACAGAGCATCCAATTTGCATGCAGAGGGATCCAGTTTCACTCTCCAGCATCTCTACTTAAAAAGACCAGGTACTAGGTGATATGAAAGACCTCTATGTTGGACCTTGGACAGCTGCTGATGCCAGTCACAGGAGACAATATTCACCTTGATGGACGCAGTATAAAGGCAACTTCATGTGACATGTGGGCTTTCAGAGGAATATTATGTTGGACCCAGAGATTCCATTTAGCTATCATAACTACTACAACCACTGACTCCATGAAATTTGCCTAACCATTTAAAAGTAATCTAAACTATTGCTATCTAAATATACAATTATTCACTTTCAGTGCCCCACCTGGATTTTTAGTATCAGGTGCAGAGTTATAATTTATTTATTATTTTATTACATCTGATGTTTAGACTGCCCTTCCCAAAAACAGGGCTCAGGGTGGTGCGCAGTAATACAAATATACATACATAAATTAGCAATAAAAACAGTAAAATCAACTAAACACCTAAAAAGATGATGTTAAGAATACTGATGAAGCCACTGCCCCATGGTGGTGGTGGTGGGGAGGCAGGAAGACAGGCGCGCCAGACCGATGGAAATTGTCACTGCTGTCAACTAAACACCTGGTGGAACATCTCTGCCGTGCAGTCCCTCTGGAACTGCATTAGCTCCCGCAGGACCTGGATGTTATTCGGCAGAGAGTTCCACCAGGTTGTGGCCAGAGTAGAAAACGCCTTGGCCGAGGACAGCTGGATATAGTATTATATTCTATCTACACATATAATCATGTCCCACCTTTGTCTTGCTCCCAATCTCTAAGATTAACAATGACAGTTAATTTTCTTTACAATCAAAATAAATATTTATGGAGCATCTGAGATTAAAGCTTAATGATAAATATAAAAAGAACCTCAACACTTCACACGCACAATCCTTTCAACAGCTCTGTAATATAGACTGGACTTGCTTTTGTATTTAAAATGTGGAGATAAGGTTGAAAGATGTGTTGAGAGCCCACTGTTTATTATATGGAAGAGACAGGACTTGAACTGGGGTTTTCCAAGTTCACGTGCCAGCCTTAGCCATTGTGCTACACCAGCTGCATGCAAGGGCTACAACTTACCTGGTCAATATCAGCATTACGAGGAAGGAAGTACACAATGTTGTTGGTAATTTTCTGTGACAGCTTGAAAATTTCATATGTAGAGATGTGTTAAGGAAGAAAAAGATAACATTTCCTTTTGGGAGGTTCTCTTAGTAAAAAAACCCCTCTCTAATAAAAGCAATACATTATGCTACAAATATAAACTGAATACTTGTAGTGATAATCACCTCATATCAAAGGCTATTTAATTCAAGCCACAGAATAGCCCTCTACACACAACCCCTCTGGCATGGCATGTTTAGTCAACGTGCAGAGAATGGGCATGGGTGCGCTGGCCCATTTCCCTTACTCATAATCACTGGCTTGTGGGCACAGCGCTGACGCATCATGTACATGCAGCCCCTAATCCTGTGATCAGGAACACTACTTTCCAAATGTTGCCAGTCACAAGGAGGAAGCCCGCATACATAGACTTCTGCCACACAAAGGAACTGAACTCAGAAGCCAATGATCATGGGAAACAGGGCTGCCATGCTTGTGTCTGTTCCTGTCATTTCTGTGCAGACTGAAAGCATGGAAGGGTTGTGTGTAGAGGGTAAAGAGGTGGCAGAAGCTGACAAAATAGGACTGTTATTTTGTTGTTAGTTAAGTGGAATTAGGATGAATTTGTGAACCTTTGTCTTTTGAATGTGATGATGGGTATATGAATGTGACTGCCACATCTGGCAAGGTGTAAAGCCAGCCAATAAGAATGCAGAAATTTGAACATGGAAGGGATTAATATGTTATGTAAGGGCACAATTTGAGAAGCATCTTTCAGCACCATGAATCTTGGAACCAAATCAACACTGATGAAATCTAACTGTAAGATAGGTTTATTACATGACTGACTACAGCTTTATAAAACTAAACCTTCCAAAACCACTTGATTTTGCTAAGAAATAAAATCCATAAAAATCTCCCAGATGAGTCATTTCTCATCTTTAATGTCAACTCCAAAAACCCCCAAATCCAGATGTGACTTCTTTTGTTCTAACCATTAACATTTACTCTGGAAATCTACATTCTGGGTCCTCATCCTTTCCCCAACATCAAGTACACTGAGATAAGAACATAAGAGATGCCAATGTTGGATCAGGCCAAAGGCCCATCCAGTCCAACACTCTGTATCACACAGTGGCCAGAAATACCAGTGCCATCAGGAGGTCCACCAGTGGGGCCAGGACATTAGAAGCCCTCCCACTGTTGACCCCCCCAAGCACCAAGATGACAGAGCATCACTTGCCCCAGAGTCCCTATCTATACCTTGTGGCTAATAGCCACTGATGGACCTCTGCTCCATATGCTTATCTAATTCCCTTTTGAAGCCATCCATGCTTGTAGCCGCCACCACTTCCTGTGGCAGTGATGTAACTGATTCATTCTCCTGACAACTTATTTGTGATACTTTCAAAGATGTTAGAGGTCAGGAAGCAATTTTTCTCCAGGCCAGTTTGGCTGGAGATCCTGGAGGGTTTTTCTCATCTTCTGGGCGTGGAACAGCAGTCACTGGTGGTGTGGGGGGAGGTATTTGTGAATTCTCTGCATTGTGCAGGGGGTTGAACTAGATGACCCTGGAGGTCCCTTCCAACTCTATGATTTTATGAAATATTCACTTATTGTAAATATATTATTTACCACTGGCAAATCTCCCTAGAGTACCATTATCCAAGTCTAGAAAAGAAACAGGACCAACATGTTTTAAAGACCTTTCTTCTATAACTACAAGGGCTGGGAATCAAGGTTAGACTTTTCAGATTGCCTGAGATATGCAACAGCTAATTAAGTAAGAAGGACCCTCTAATTTAAAGTAACAGCAAATGTTCTTGTTTTTCATCCTACAATAGAAAATACCTATAGAAAAAATGCCAAACAAGATTTGATGTGGAAAAGGATATCCATTAGGAGAGATCATTGTTTGAACATCGAAGATTTCTGCAGTGGCATATTCAGGCCCACCCCATGGAGGGCTCAGAAACACAACATCCGCTTTCAACCCAGATGCCAGTTGCATGAAGTCACCACATATGAACTCTATCTGGTCTGCCACTCCGTACACTTCTGCATTGTTGTGAGCAAGAGCGATCTTCACAGGGTCAATATCGACTGCAATTACTGAGAAGAACAAACAAAACAGATCTCTATAAATGGTTGCAAAAAATCAGGTCAGCCATATTATTGTCAAACTACTTCCCAAAGCTTCAATTTCCTGGCACTTCAGGCACAATCCTAGGTTTTAGATAAAAGCTATTTTAAATATTTTTACCACAGTTAATCATGGTAATTTGGTCATAGCATGAGTTCTAAGAGATATATCTACAAGTTCTACTCAAGTTCTGCTTAACGTAAGCCATTCTAATTTATACTTGATCTTATCTGTATATGGGATAGCTAAATAGTTAAAATGCTGCACAATGTTCTAAAGGCATGATGACCTTGGTGTCAGTCAGGAAGCATGCATTTGGAAACAGTTGCCTCCTTAAGAGCCAGTGTGGTATCTTGGATAGAATGGCAGACTAGGACCCTGGACGATCCAGGCCTGAATCCCCACTTCTACCACGGAAGCTCACTAGGTGACCTTGGGGCTGTCCCAAGCCCGCAGACTGGCATACCTTACAGGACTGTTTTTAGATCAAGATGGGGAGCCGTGTTTGTCAGTAGCAGTAGAAAAGAGCAAGAGTCCAGTAGCACCTTAAAGACTAACAACATTTGTGGTGGTGAAGAGCTTTCGTGAGTCACTGCTCATGAAAACTCATACCGTGCCACAAATTTTGTTAGCCTTTTAGGAATGTTTTTGTGATAGAACGAAGGAGGGGAGAATGATGTTCTAAGCCGTCTGGAGTCCCAACTGTGGGGAGAAAAGTGGCATATAAACAAATGCAAATGCATCCTTGGTTGGGAATCCCTTAACCATTCTGTCGACCCTTCCATTTTGTTGCTCTATCCTCAAAAAAGTTAAGGATTTTAGTCTACTGTTCAGAAACCAAAGACAGTTGGACAGGAGCAGCAAAGAAGGGGCTGGATCACACATTTTGCTAACAGTGATGCTTTCCTCTGGTGTAAGGAGTCAGTAGGACAAACTGCTGCCACGAGTAGGACAGATTCATGGCATCCAACCCAAGGCAGGTCTTTCTGGCAAGAAAAGTACAAAACCAGATCAGGCTACAGTAGAAGATACTGGAGAAGAGGAGGTTTGTTCCATGAAGAGAATGTTGTTAGATAAGGCATGTAAGAACAGATCAAAGCAAATCGTAACATGCAGATCATAAAATGAGGCTCTGCAGAGCAGACAAGGAAAGTAGAAGTTACAGGGGAGTGCTTCCATGCCCCATGAATGTCTCTGACTTCCCCAATAACTACTGTCTGAGTTGTCACTGCATATGCACATCAATTGCTCCCTCTAGGTCCCCAGAACTGCATTTTCTTCAACCAAGAAAAAAACCATTTTGGAAGCTGCCAGTCATGTCCAACAGGTGCTTCAAACAGAAGAACTAGCAACTGCTCAACATACTCCTCTCCCCTCTTTCTGACAGAACAGTACACACACACACAGCAGTACAGTGTTAACACTGTGTTTCTCCCATGCAGGGAGACCAATTCAGTCTTACGGTAGGTTCCAGACTGACAGTCTACCTTCTACATTCAGAGTCAACAGCCACCATGTTCCCTGAACAGGTGCAAAAGACATACCAGCTGCCAGGCCTGGCTTTAAAAAGCTAAGTTAGAATCCATCCGGCGATTGTGGGAAATGGCAGAGTGAGCAGCTAGGAACAATTAACCATGAAGGAAATTGCTCCTTGCTGTAGGAAGCAATAAAATTGTCTAACATAGCATGCCTCTATATTTTGCCTGTATTTAAAAGACAAGTCAGCTTGCGAGTGTTTCAGTTGTTAAAACAGCATAGAAACAATTCCCAGCTTTAACTACAGCAATCACATTTTTAAAATCTTTACTACACCACACAAGAAGAGGAGAGAGAAGCCTTTTACCTCTTTTTGCTGCCAAGGCAAACTGAATAGCATTTCCCCCCACACCACAGAACGCATCTATTATGATGTCAGAGTCGAAGGACTGCTTCACACGCTCTGCAATGTGCTCTGCGATCTTCTCAGGAGTAACAGAAAACCATCCCTCTGTCAAAAGAAATCAACTGTCATATTTCAGAATTCAAGCCACAGACAAGTCTGGATTTTAGATTAATAGAATCTTAGATCCCAACTAGGTTGGTGGAAGACACTTCTGCCAGCAAAAAAGTGGGTTTCTCTCACCAATTTCCCTTTCCAGAGCAGACCCCCCAATTTCATCCTATCCTGTCCCTGAGGGGAGAGGAGCACACAAGAGGCCACAGCAGGAAGGGGGAAGCTGCTCTGTTCATGCTAGATAACATCTCAGCCAGCATTTTTGGTGTGCTGCTTCATGTACACATGTAGCATCACGCAATTGCTATAGGTAAAACACCGCACCCAGAAATTCAAAAGAAACAAGGTTTCACAGTTCATACAGTGACTTGGCAGGTCAACAGACTATGAGCTTACCTCTATCTAACTGAATCCCTTCATCAAATCGAGAGAACAGTCTATACCGTTGTGCCCAATATTTGGCTAGCTCAGGATCACTGGCTATTTCAGGAGGCAGGGACTGTGGGGGTCTGATTTTTTTCTGTTTCTTTTTCTTGTTTTTCTTCTTCTTGGAAGAGCCTTTTTCACCTTCACCAAGAAAAAAAATATGTAGCTCCACAGTTAGCTTATCACTCTCAAGCTACCTGGCTGAAATTTTAAGATTATCAGGGCATGTGAACAACTTCATCATCCTTTTCAAGAGATGAGATTGCAAGAAAAATATAGAAGTCACAGTGACTGGCTTTGATTTTGCTGTACTATACAGGGCCATCAGTTATAATTGATAACATGACTAGCAATTCATGAATGGAAAAAAAATGTCCCAACAAAAATGGGGAATGGTAATATATTACTAAACAAAGGATAGGGAGAAAACACTTGGCAAAAATATCATGCAAACATTTTCTGAAGTCTTTAAAAAAATATCTGTTAGTTCTATTAGCATTTTCAATCACCTGCATCTTCTAAAAACTCATAAATTCCCCAGGAGGATGAACATAAAACCATATGTTCCAACTAAACTGTCAGACAACTATATTGCTTTCCTGTAATTTATTATTTGTTAAAACAGGACATTGGATTGATTGGAAATCTCCATGGGTGGAAGGCTTTGTGCTCCCAGAGTAGGACTTTCTCCCCTATAACCTCAGCCCCAAATGCAGCTCCCACTCGCCAGGAGCAGCGGAGGGAGGGGGCTTCCTATGCTGCAGAGGAAGTGGGGAGGTGAGAACGTCATGCTCAGCAGGCAGAAATCCTTCCAGCTCTCAGAAGTTCTTTTTTGTTGTTGCTGGTTTAAAGTCACTAAAAGTAATCGATACTGGATGGGATCCAAACAATCATCAGGAGAAGAGGCAAAGGTATTTCCTTGCATTTCCTTCTCCCCAGCAGTCCCTTCTGAACTCCAGAAAGATGACTCCTGGATTCATGGGACCCTCATGAACAAAACAAATATGCTTCTTTCTACGTTGTTATGTGGTTTTTCAACTGTAAGCTGCTTCAAGTGGGACTCTGAAAAGGAATAGGTGAAACTGCTCTATCCTACCACTTCAAGCACAGCTCTCCTGAATGAAAAGGGAGCTATTTTGCTGCAACTCCCCCCACCCTAATTAATCACAAGCAATCTTCAGTTTCCTAGTCTGTTGCTTAAATCAAAATAATGTAACAATGTAAGGCATGTACTTCCACACCCACAGAATCTTTATTCAGAATTTTCTCGCACCTTCTGTTTCTACCTGCAGATAGTCTGGAATGTCCAGGGGAACTAGCTGTCTTCCCGATGGACAGTCTTCTCCTTCTTGTTCTCCTGGCCCTGATTCCTGCAAGTTACAGTCACCTGTTGATATTACCACCTTCTCCTTGACTTTCTCTTCAAGGCTGAGGCATTCAGCGTTACAGGAAGCTGAGCTGGAAGGTAACAAGCCACAATTCTGGAAATCCGAAGTCTTTTGAGAGCCGCCATCACTTTCCTGCTCCTCTAAATCGCTGCTTGTAGAGGTGTTATGAAGTACATCTGGCAAGGAGGAGTCCTGTGATTTCACTTCCACAGGCTCATTCACTTGTTTCAAGAACTTTTCTACCTGAAAAATACCAAGCATCACAAACAAGATGGGCCTCAAACCAGCAATTATGGTAATAAAATAAATCCCCTTAGAATCATAGAGTTGGAAGGGACCTCCAGGGTCATCTAGTCCAACCCCCTGCACAATGCATGAAATAGAACTCTGATAAGAGTAAAAATAAAAGCATATACAGATTTCCCTATTTCAGCCTGTGTTAAACAAAATTTCGTCATAACAAACCCATCCTAGCTTATAAATTCCAAATATGTTTACAAGACATACTGTTTTGTTCTACTAATAATTTTTCAATTTGTTTATGTCAGAACCCACAGCCAACAACGCAGTACACGCTTTCAGGAAAGGTAATACTTTTATTGAAGAGCTATAGATGCGTTGAAATAGTCACTGTTAAGAATGGCAATTGCCCCTTGGACATAATAAGATATAGGGTATTCGTATGCACCCTCCCCCCACCGCGCTGGCCAATTAGGCACCCTCCTGCGCACGGGATGAAGCTAGCAAACGGTTTCAAGCCGAAGCTGGAACCTCGCCTTCTCCCACGGCTCCCTAGAAAAAAGCAGACATCACAACTCCCATCTGCACATCTTTACAGGTAAGCATTTCAGCGCGAAGCACAGAAAGGAATGCAATAGCAATTACACTGACTCTGCCTGACCATCCCAACCCCCATGGCAGCATATATATCATGAAGGTGGGAAATAATACAGAAGTCATGTCTTTAATGTCACAGATAAGACTGGAAGTAGAATTACAAGTGTTTGAGGAAATCCTGTACTTTATTACCCAGCTGTCCTTACCTATAAAGTCTGTAGTGCTTTTTGTGTATTTCTTTTGGTATGACACTTAAGAACATGAGAGTTGCCAATGTTGGATCAGGCCAACGGCCCATCCAGTCCAACGCTCTGTCACACAGTGGCCAACACTCCCTCTAAGCTGTGGAGTCTTGTGAGCAAAAATTTTACTTTGTGTGCTACTGGCATTAAAGTTGTGAGTGAGCAATTTGGCCACTACATAAATTAATTTGCTCTGGAGCCATCCTTCCTGAGCTAAGACAAAAATCTGTGAGCTGGAGGCTAAAACACTGTGAGCTAACTCAGCTTAGAGGGAGCACTGGTGCCATCAGGAGGTCCAGCAGTGGGGCCAGGACACTAGAAGCCCTCCCACTGCCCCCCCCCCAAGCACCAAGAATACAAAGCATCACTTGCCCCAGACTGAGAGTTCCTATCTATACCTTGTGGCTAATAGCCACTGATAGACCTCTGCTCCATATGTTTATCCAATTCCCTCTTGAAGCCGTCCATGCTTGTAGCCACCGCCACCTCCTGTGGCAGTGAATTCCATGTGCTAATCACTTTTTGGGTGAAGAAGTACTTCCTGTTATCTGTTCTAATCTGATTGCTCAGCAATTGAATGTCCATGAGTTCTTGTATTGTGAGAAAGGGAGAAAAGTACTTCTTTCTTTACCTACTCTATCCTATGCATAATCTTGCAAACCTCGATCATGTCACCCCTCACTCGTCGTTTCTCCAAGCTAAAGAGCCCCAAGCACTTTAACCTTTCTTCATAGGGAAAATTAATATGATTTAAGTCATACTAAGAGCTTGCAAACACACAGTGTCATGCCACAGGTTTGCCCACCATTTACATCCCAACCAGGACTACTAATCACAAACAAACCATGGTTTGGAATCTCTTCTTCCTCCCCAGTTCAGATGTAATGCCAAACTGTGTTTGCACTAAAACAGAAGTCATTAATCAAAACAGAGCATGCAGGAGATGGGGAAAGGGGAACAGAATGTTTTAGCACTGGGCTCATTTCTGTTACCCATAGGTTGGAACTATGTCTACCCTGTCACAGATTTCTCTCTTGGAAGCACAAAATAAATTGTTCCAAGGGCTGTCTTAGCCTCAGTTGTTTCAAAAATATAATTTTTACAAGTGTGGGGCCCACAAGACTCGTGGGGAGATCTCCTCCCCCCATCGCCAAGCCTGCTATGGCTCAAGACCTCACAGCTCACCTTGAGACCAGCTGTGGAGGCGGTGGTTCCTGGCATCCACCACTGAAGTGCCTGAGCCCAGACCCTCTCCCAGTGTTCACTGCTGGAGAATCTGTGGGAATTCAAATCCCTATTTATTTTTTGTGACTTCAGATTTTTCTGCAAACCTGAAGAGGAAATCTGTTTGAGAAGGTCTGGCCCCAGTCTGCAAATTTAGATATCTGCTGATGGGGGAGGGGGGGCACAACACACGTTCCTATTGGATATATAATGTGAATGCAGTGTGAAATAAACCATTAGGCATTAGCTATGAAACTGTACAGGATGTTGAAAAATATAGTAAAAACAGTACTTTGCATTGTGTGTTCTATCAAGGTGATATAAGGTGATATAAATAACAGCTACCTTACTTAAAGTCTTGCTCTTCTTGCAAAACAATGTATCAGATTCTTCTGTAAAAATGATGTGCTTGTTTTTGGTCTTGACTATTCTGCGCATGTCCAAAAACTCAGACTTAAACTTCATATTTTTATTGAAATGTGTCACTCTTCTTTCACTGAAGCCAGGAATTCCCGTGTATCTGCAGAAAGATTACAGTTAAGAACAACTTTTTACCTACGGAGCAATATACATGACATACCTCCAGGTTGATTGCTTTTAATTAAATAAGGTCATTCAACTTGCTTAGCTTCAACTAGATAATTTCGTAATTATTAATGCTGTCTTCTCAAGGATTCCTTTAAATAAGTAAACATAGCAATAATCACTACTGGGTGGTACCATATGAGGCTTTGGGGATAAACAACAAGATCTCTTGATTTATAGTTAAAGCTTCAAAACAGTGTGTGGGTGGGGTGGGGTGGGAAGAT